GGCGATTAAATACTTGAGAGATAGGATTTAGATTAGGATGATTTATTAATAAAAATTTTAATTTAGGTGAGATCGTTTGCCTCCCATGCATCTCAATTTTTGGGTTGTTGCCTCACAATTCATGCCAATTTTACATTTTGCTCGTGCAAGGACCAAAACAACATTATAGTCATTCCAAGGTAATTTCGACATGTCAGACAAAACGGTAAAGTCCATTCAACATTTGGGTAACGTCACGCAACATTGCATCCATCGCATGTCGATTTCAAAGCCTTCACTCAAAACGATAACGAGCAATTATCCCTCACGTAACTTTGATATTCTGAGCAAAACGATGAAGTCCGCTTCATGATCGGGATGTCATTTGGGCAGTTTTGAGCAACGTCACTTCGAAATTCATGCCAATTTTACTTTTTTCACATTATATGATGCTCTGGGCAATAGTACAGCCTTTTCTAGGCAATTTCAGCGTTCCATATTCAATGACATAGTTTATTTTGTGAACAGACGACATTTGGGCATCGTCACACAATGTAGCATTTGTTGTCCGTCAATTTTGATCACCTTCGATCGATTTGATTGTGAGGGGTCTCCTCTTAAGTAAATTCGATGTACCAAACACATCAACACAGTCCATTTGAGGATCAAAGGTTGTTCAGATAATTTTATAAAACATTACGCTTGCCAAGAATTATTCTTGTTATCATTTTCAATTGAGTTGCGAACAAATGAGTCTTTTGAACAAATTTGGGGTTCTCAGTACATCTGTTTTGCAATCAAACAAAGTTTGAGAGATTTTTAACAATGATCGAGGCGCTTCGGCATTCATTACGTGTGACCTATCCACTAGTTACCTCCTCTGATGCACTTGATTGAATATGACATGTATATAGAGGTCAACACATTTCAAAGCCATCAAACTAAAAGATGAGACTTTACACACCTCTACAAATACATAGCCACTTCTAGTAGTCCATCCCTATGAACTACAAAACTTAACGATGAAACAAAGGTGAAAATTTTTGTTGGAAATAAAGCTGAAAATGAGCATCACCCAACATATAGACCAACTGTCAAACAAAGATGAGGAAGAAGAAAATGATTAGAATATTGCAAGTCTACAATTTATGATGTTTGAAAACATGGAAAACATCCTTTACATCAAATTTTAATTCAATTGAATCATAAATGGATTGATAGGAAAATATTGTGGTGAGCTTAGGTTTTCTATCGCAAAGTCTAGTCAATCTAAATTTCTTTGTAGATATATTGAAAGATGGCGATGCCCAATCCAAGAAGACTAGATAATGGCTACACTTAGAAAAGCACAAGTTAAAAGGCAAGGTTGGAAAATCAAGTAGATCTCTGAAGTCCTTTTTGATAAATATTTCATAAGGTTATTGATAATACATTACAAATAGACCAACTTCCAACATGAAAATATACTGTGTTATCACAGCAAAGAAATTGAAGTGGTTTGAGCCTTCATTGTTAAACAATGAATAGGAGCACAAATGGGTGGTTTCTAATGTAAAAGTTCTTTAAACTAAACTACTACTACAACAACAACATCAAGCATTTATCCCACTACATATAGTTGGCTAAATGAATTTTTTTTCTCCATTGTATCCAATTAAGAGTCAAAATTTCATTTAAATCTGATAAAAAAAATCATTTCTGATAATTTCTAACCATGTTTTTCATGTATACCTCTACTTTTTTTTACATAGATCTGATCTCACACATCTATTCTCTTAACCGGGTCATCGAAAGGCCGACGTTGTATGCGAAACTAGACTAGATGGTTCATAAAAGATGAAACATATAATAGATATGAGAATATTTAGGCCTAAACTGGGTTCAAGAAAATCTATTATTGTCAAGAAGAGGCAAACTCCCAAATAAGCAAAGTGACTTTCTAAAGGAATGAAGAACTTCACTCACCTCCTATTATTCGGAGGAGCAAACGAGCTAAAAGTGGGGATATGATCCAAAAAGATCCCAATGGAGGGGAACGGTTAGCCCTTTCAAATAAAAGTTGTTTTTCAGGTTATTATAGAATTTAAAATCTTTTATGTAACTAAATAATTGATTTATTTCCATATTCTAATATTTGTTTCCATTGATATTTATTTCCTTTGACATGTGTTTCCTTTTGTTTATTTCCTATTTACAAACTTGCATGCTATTTAAAATCCCCTTGGAGCAAACAATAAAACAATTAACTTTCTTCCTCCAAAACCAATTCAAGAACACCCCCCCACCCCCATTTCCTGATTTGTCTCTGCAAAACCTTCCTCAAGCAACTTCCATTAGTTGAACCCTCTTTGACATCCCTTCAAGAGGAAAACTGTGCCCATTCCAATGCGCTTCAAATTGCTTCCGGTAAAGAGGAACAAGTAACAAAAAACAGTGAGAGCTTTAAGCTACTTTCGCCCTCTAACAACAAGCATAATGCTTGGGGCAAATCAAATTAGTCCTTACAAAAAACTAGAACTTGTGCTCTCTCTCAAGAGTTACAAAACATAAAACTCTTGAGTTTGTAATGCGCTTTGGTATCAAAAACTACAACAAACTCCAAGAGATTCAACACAAAAATAGATTTTTATTGATAGGAAATCAAATATAAACAAAGCAAGATAAAATGGTCCTCTTTCGAGAGTACCTTCTCTCCCAAACCCAAGACGCCGCTAGGATCCCACACAAAAAGAATGCTACAACACTCTCAAATCAAATCATGCCTACAAACATGACATAAATCCTACTACTTATAGCAAACAATAAAATAACAAATTTCAAAAAATCCCTCCCCCAATTCTCTCTCAAATTAGCCCCCAAATCACCCCTCTCCAATTAGAAAATATATCCTAATTAATCCTCTCTAATTTAGACCCAAAATCTGCCCTTTTTAATTAAAACATCTCCCAATTAATCCCCTTCAAATCATCCCACAAATCTATCCTTTTTTATTAAGAACATATCCTAATTAATCCCCTCCAAAGCAACCTCCAATCGACCCCCAAATCTGCCCTCTTTAATTAGGAAACATTTCCTAATTAATCCCCCAAATCTATCCTTTTTTAATTAAGAAATATCTCCTAATTAATCCCCATCAAATCTTGGTCTTTTATGGTAAGTAATTACTCCTCTTTAATCTTCTTGCCCTCCGCCCACCTAATGGGACCCACCTGCTTAACCGGTCTATGAATACTCCCCTCCCAAAGAGCCACATTATCCTCAAGGTGGAATAAAAGAAACTATTGTTGAAGCACTTGATAATAGCCCTAAAGTTAGTCCAAAGAGCCACCTTGAAAATTTTTCTGGGAAGGGAAATGACCCCTCCACATCTTCGACACGTCACATAAGCATGAAAGGTTTTAAAATTTGATGAAACCTGTGGATCACAATCACCTTCTTTTCAGTTTCAAGCCAATGATCCTCCTATTGGCTATGTGATATGAATCGCAATTGGCCAATCTACCAGGTAAGAACACCTAATACATAGGATCTTGACTTTTGAGGTTGTAATTCAATCATAATAAGGTTATGGCTTGGTTCTAGTGCAGGTACATCTGAGCTTTTTATATCATTCAAAAATCCTGATCTGCCCCTTATCAAAGCCCCAAGAGGTAGTTCTTGATGAAAGAAACTCTCCTTATCGAACTCTTCCCATTCGATTTATTTTCCCTTAGATTCAGCAAAGGGAATCTCGGTTGATTCTAGGTTAAGGTTAGCAATTGGAACCACCATTGGAGTTTTGGATTACATCTTAATGAGCTTCCTTAACATCTATTCTATCCCTCCAAATCGGCTCTCCATCCGATTCTCCATAGTTAAAAACTTCTTCTCCATACCAGATTTGAATTGCTCTTTTTTGCTTTTCAATGCATCCACTTTCTTTGCTATCATCTCTCCAAAAAACCTTGCTCTGATACTAATTTGATGTGCCTTGGTATCAAAAACAGCAATAAACTCCAAGAGATTCAACACAAAATAGATTTTTATTGATAGGAAATCAAATACGAATAAAGCAAGATATAATGATCCTCTTTTGAGAGAATGACCTTCTCTCCCAAACCCTAGACACCACTAGGATCCCTCACAAAAAGAAGGCTACAACACTCTCAAATCAAATTATGCCTACAAAAATGACATAAACCCTACTACTTATAGTAACCAATAAAACACCAAATTTCAAAACAGCCCTCCCTCAGTTCTCTCTCAAATTAGCCCTCAAACCAACCGTCCCCAATTAGAAAATATCTACTAATTAATCCCCTCCCTTTTTAATTAGGAAACATCTCCCAATTGATCCCCTTCAAATCAACCCACAAATCTACATTTTTAAATAGGAAACATCTCCTGATTAATTCCCTCCAAATCAGCCTCAAATCAGCCCCCAAATCTGCCACATTTAATTAAGAAACATGTCATAATTAATCCCCTCCAATTCAGCCCCAAAATCTGCCATTTTTAATTAAGAAATATCTCCTAATTAATCCCCTTCAAATCATGATATTCTATGACAAGTAATTACGATCTTCTTGCCCGCCGCCCACCTAGTGGGCAACCTGGTTAACCGGTCTCTCAGTTCGGGATCAATTAAATAGGAAAAAATTCATTAGGACTACCTTGTCAGGATAAGTTCAGCTTGGTTGGTAGTCAGGCTAAGTTCAGCTTGGTTGGAACTAGGAACAAGATGGTTATTAAATGAGCCCATGTAAAAAGCAGAATACCTGAACTCTAATAGATAGTTGGTACGGGGAGTTCTAAGGATTAACTACTTTCGTTGGGCCTTATAAAATTGGTAACAGTAGCACTAGGCGTGTTCAAGTAGTTCATCTACTTAATAATGACTTAGCAATAAACTCCAGAATCTAAATATGTGAGCTTTGCCGTGAAGTTTGTTACGCTAATCAAAAGCAACCTAAATAATATTAATTTGCAATGCCAATGAAATGAGTAGAATATTGTTACAGGCATACGAGGATGACACATACCTCCTCAAATTTGCATCCTAAATCCTGCTCAATGCTTCTGACTGTACGACGTTGACCTTCAGTGAACATAAGTACTGTGGTCCCTTTATTACCAGCACGACCAGTTCTGCCAGATCTATGAAGAAAAATATCGGGAGTGTTTGGAATTTCAAAATGAATAACCTGTATCCAATCAAAATTGTTATTATTTGCAGAACAACCAAAAATTTTAAGCTTGATAGTTTGATGTGATATAGAATTTTGTTACCAGATCAACATTAGGGATATCAAGACCACGTGCAGCAACATCTGTAGCAACTAATGCACGAAACCGTCCATCACGGAAAGCAGCAAGAGTTTTGTCCCTTTGCGACTGCTGCATGTCTCCATGCAATGCTTTGCTCCCAATTACAACTCCCATGGACCTTGAGAGTGACTCTGCATCTCTCTTTGTTTTGGTGAAAATAATACTTTTACCACCTTGAGCATACATCTTGAAGACAAAAGTTTACAAGTTAGAGAAGGAAAATAAGTAAATACTAGTGAAATAGGCAATATAATGGAAAGAAGAGTCTCAAGTTCAACAATATAAGATGAGCATGCCCCTAGGCACAAAATTCATGTCTGCCTAAACGATGTCTAACATCTAGAAAACCAATAAAAAGTCTAGAGAAAGCTATTCCTGGTCACAATGAAGCAGAATACTAACATCTTTCTTTCTATTTATAAAAAGAGGAGTGAAGCTCATGCCTTATAAGTTAGAATAAACTTCCATTAAAACAAACTAAAATGGAAGAGCATCTATTCTATGACTACTAGCAATATTGCTCCCTTATTGTAGAATATTAATGTTAAGTCTTGCAACATGGCACATCTCCACAGTGCGCTACTTATCCTTCGAAAAAAAAGGGTAGTGACTATGACAAATAGGTCACCAAGATGTATGAAAAGTAGTAACTAGTTTTTGAAAGTAGAAGAATAATGTCAAATACTTGATAAAAATAACCAAGTTGATCATAAATTCCCTTGATAGGAGTCAAAGAAACAATCTTCTGTTAAATATCAAAAGTAGACATAAAAGTTAATTTAAAGGAAGAAAACGTGTAGTCTGCTTCGTATATATTCTTACTGAAATCAAAGTGGGAAGGAGATTTTGCTTGTTAGGAGAGGTTGAGGAAACAGAATAGAGTGAGATACCCTCAGCTAACTTCTGATCAGAGTCTCCAACCTAGGATAAAGCAAAGGCAAACATTATGCATAATAGCAAACCAAATAAGCAGAAAATGTTAACACTAAAGGCGCTTTAAGAAAAAAGGCATAATCCTGATTCAAATTAGAAACGCAATAGGACAAACAAATAACTTACAAGATCTACTATTACAGGATCTCTCAAATACTTCCTTGACAGATCATGAATCCATTGAGGCATCGTTGCAGAAAACAGCATGCATTGTTTCTTTCTAGGTAGGTAACTTAAAATACGTTCAACATCCTCCTGAAAGCCTACTGCTAACATCTGATCAGCTTCATCCAACACAACAAATTTTACTTCAGAAAGATCTAAGGCACCCCTTTCAAATAAGTCAATAATTCTTCCCGGTGTTCCAACAACAATATCCATGCCATATCCAAGAGCACGCACTTGGCTCATAATTGGTATTCCACCATAAATGCAAGTACTTTGCAAATTCGGAGCTGAAATTTTGAACTCCCTTTGCACCTGACGTGCCAGTTCACGTGTAGGCGCCAATACAAGAGCAGAGGGAACTCGTTTTTTCCTTCAATACAAAAACATAAAATATATACAGGTAATAAACAACAATCAATTTACAAATACCTAACATTATACTTCCAAAGAAATAAATGATTTAAAATGCAATTAGCCCCTAAACAATATTAACACATTGAAATATTAAACAAAAAATTAGGATAGATTAAGTATTTTCATTTGTTTATTGTTGAATGCAATTGCTCAATTAATTATCTCCTTGAATATGTTTTAATTGGATATCTTCTAAAATGTTTTACTTTTATCCAAATGTAAAACAGCTCAAAGAAGTTTTATTCAACCCATCTTTTAAATCCACAAGTTCAAGATTTCAATGTTAGCAAAATGCAGAGACAACCACCAAACACCTTAATTGCCTTGTTCATAAGAGCGCATTCTATGACTCCAAATTAAGAAACCTAAAAAGAATGCCATATTCTTCTTGCAGATCACAACTTCTTTAATGGTTAATATGATGGTCTGCAAGATCCCTACAGTTCCTTCAAAAAGCATGATCAACTCACAATGCGAAACAAACATTTATGATCACTCGAGTGGATCATCACTAAAAGAATATGCACAGAATTTAATACTGCATAACACAGCAAGTCCTCCAGCAAAAAATAGATAAAAAGCTAAGTTCGGTAATAGATGATCATCAATGAGTGGGAGCCTTATCAGATTTGCATACTTCTCTACGAAATTGATATAAAAGGATCAATCGGTATGTAGTTCAATGACAACACAAAGGCTATGAAGCAGACATAACAAACCAAATGTAAATGCAAGAAGAAACAAACGAACCAGCTTTGAGTCTGATCCCGGATAATTTTATCCAATATGGGAATACCAAATGCAAGAGTTTTTCCTGATCCAGTTATAGCCCTTCCAATCATATCACGGCCTTCCATTGCAGGCTCCAAGACAGCTCTCTATAATCATAATTTAATAAATATCCCTTTATCAAAAGAAATTTAAATTTAAGTTTCAGAAAATAAAACGCATGGCTATGCAGAAATGAAATCACAGAAAACTCTCCTTATGCAAATTATTCAATAGTGCAAACCCTAGCTCATAAATTGCTGCTTCTGATTTCCTTGCTTTCATTGAGCACATGACATGATTCCCAAACCAAGAGAATCCCACATAGAATGACAAATCAAAAAATTCACGATTGTTAAACAAAAAAGCAACATATTAAGATGGTTTGGGATCTTTAGACCGTTTTCATACAAATATTCTACCCACCAGCTATTTATATTTGGCTATTAGGAAGCAGATAATGCTTGGTTAGAAAGATTTTTCCATACCAATCAAATCTAGCCCACCACCAACCCTCATCATCAAAATCTTCAAGAACTAATTGATATACATCCTTATAGCTTCCACAGATGATGCATGCAAAATATTTAAAATAATAATCATAGTCGACAATTAACAGTATTTCATCCGTAAACAACATCCCCACTGTACTCCTACCTGTGAGGTCACAGTTTCTCAATTTTCCAAGTTAGAGAGAGCCAAATTTAAGCACTTTAGCACTGAAATCATAAATTAAGCATAAAAATAAGCTCACAAACTCCCATAGGATATACCCATCTCAACCTCATTCAACAATACACTATAAAACAAATTGCAATACTTAGAAATAGTCATAATTAACTTTATTCATGCGCTCAAAGCATTTACAGTAAAGGAAATATACAAAATAAGCTTGTAGAAGTGACCTGAATAGGGAACAGTTCAGTGATGCCGCGGTGAGAGAGAGCAGTAACGATCTGCTCCGATATGCCGATCTTCGAGATGTCGAGGAGCTCTCCTTCGACAGGTATGGTTGGAACGGCGGTGCGGAGCGCCTTCGCGCTGAGAAACGGAACAGCCGACCATCTGCGAGGGATGACATTAGGATTAGCTGAGACGGGAATGGCGAGAGGCGAGGAGCGAGTGAGGAGAATATTGAGATTAGGGTTTTGGGGCGGGAAGGAGATGACGGCGGAGGAGGGAGTGAAGAAGAAGAGTGCGGTTGCCATCCTCTCGCGCCGAGTTTGAATTGGATAAAATTTAGGTTGGCGGAGAGAAGCAAAGAGGAAAGGGTAGAGTATATAGTTGGCCTTTTGGTGCTAGCTAAAATATCTTAGCCTAAATATCTAGGATTTTTAACATTTACATCATACCCTTGCAAGTCCAAATTTATTTACCACCAAAAATTTTTTTTTATTCTTCAATTTTTTTCATTTTTTATTAGCTCTCATTAATTTAAATTATGTTCTTATGAGTTAGAAAATTTGAGTTAATAGAGTGTGTGTTTTTTGCATCTCAATGTCGTACAAAAATATAACATACAAAGATAAAAAATTGTAATATCATAGTTTTTTTCACCAGAAATGTATACAAAAGGAAAAAATCTTGGGGTATAGCTAAGTTGAACAATTCACTATATAGTAGGTGAAATAAAAATTCTCTCTTCCTCATTGTTAAAAAAAATGGCAATTACTTGAGTACAAACATCTGAATTCCTCTTTAGAGATTATAGAATACAGGTGTCCATAAATTGACAGTAAACACCTAACAGCAGGTTTTGATTTCTCCCATAAGAATTACATAAATCTGGAATCTATTGGAAGACAATTAGTACCCAACAATAGGGTAATATTCTGAAAAGAGTCGGCAATTGCTGCTGGTGGTCATTGGCGGTAATAGCTGGTGATGGTCGTTAGTGGCAATAATTAAACAATATAAAAGAGCTCTTTAAGATGATGTAAATATTTCCCATCTTCTTCAATTGGAGAATGGTGATCTATTGATAGACTTTTTTGGAAGAGTATTTTGGTCATATGGAGAAGAATCCAAAACACCATATCGTACAGTCATGAAGCATTCGTCCATCATTTAAATGCCTTAACGATTTCAGAATCTAGTCATCTTAGGCTCATTGGATTCATCTCACTAAGCCTTTCGATTCAATTATAAATATGCCAAATTTGAAAATCATTTAGCCTTCTAATTAATATCTATTTTTTTTAATTATACTTTAAGTGTTTGAGTTAGACTCATTTAGGGTCGGATTGGACTGCTTATGGTGTCGTTGGATAAATTATACTATAGCATTATTTTCTTAGTTTGAAATTATTTTTCAAATAATTAAAAAGGTTCACTTTGCAAAATCTTCAGTATAAAATTCCCCAAAAAATGCCTAAATATTAAGAATGATTGCCTCTATAACATACATAAAGTTACACGGTGAAAGTTTTGTAGATATAAGTTATCCTTGATTTTACATTGCAAAAATATGAATTAAATAAAAAAATTCCCAAATCATCTTATTTTTTAAAATTAAGATAGAAAAAATGTAACCTACCACGAAATAGACAACTTTATAATTGGACCATCAATTGATAACAAACCGAAGTCACCCAAATCTGACTTTCTTTCCAAAGAAAGCTCCCCCACCCCTCTCTGGCCGACCACCCTTAGGAAAGTGAATACATTTTTGGAATACTTTTATTATGAAAATTCTTCGTAATACCATGGTGCTAACTATGGTGCTCCTTCATAGAGCTCACAATGCCACAACACTGCCCCAGTGCCACTACACTAACTAAATTCCAAAAACTTTGAGAGCAATTTTGTTGTAATACTGCGGCGCCCTAACAGAAAAAAATATATATTTTTCAAACATACAAACAAACCCTTGAGACCCACTTCATACACTCTTATATGCATATAAAACACTCCCCGAACACATATAGAAGGGTTCAAATGTAAGAATTTAATAGAATACCTTTAATCTAGTGGGGCCATAATGGGTTGAATTATGCATTGCCTTTATAGGTCTTACAATTCTCTTCTTCTCAAAAAATAACATTCTTGACATTTTAAAACTTAGATTTCATATTATAAGAATATATCAGGATACAACTCTCTTCTTAGATTTTTTCTTCCAAGCAGCATCTCTTTTATTTCATTCTTCCACTGAATTCGAACAATTAGAATATGTTTGTTTCTTAATCTTCTAACATCATAAGCCAGAATTCTCTATTATTCTTATATGTAGCTCAGATTGTGACATACCTCATTATCTTCTATAAATATTCTATTTCTTAAATTAGATACCCATTTCTTCAGAAGTGATATATATATAATATATTATGGATTTCAGACATGTACTGTTGTGGAAACTATAATATGTAGGTAAACTTTCTAATTTTTTCAATAACTTCAAAGGGTCCAATGTGCCTTGAACTCAACTTTTCGTCTTCACCAAATATGTTAATGAGTTAATGCCTTTCATTAGCTTAATTTTGCATATACAAAGTTTCCTACTTGGAATTTCACAGCTCGATGCTTAGCATTAAAATACTATCTCTACCTATCATGTACATCTTTTAATATATCTTTGACAAGATGAATCTTTCTAGTAACATCATTGACTAAGGTTAGCCCAATCAGATTCCTCCCATCCACCTTTATCCAAGACAATGATGTTCTATATTTCCTATTATACATAGCTTCATAAGGATCCATACCTATACTTGACTGAAAGCTATTATTGAAAGCATACTCAATCAAAAGAATGTGATCCTCCCAATTACCACCAAAGTTCAAACACATAATCTCAAAAGATATTCCAGTACCCTCTCAAACTATCCATTAATTTGTGGATAAAAAGCCATCATGAAATGTAGTTTCATGATAAGACCTTACTAAATACCCTTTCATAATTTGGAAGTGAACCTACCATCTACCCATTTCTTCAGAAGTGATATATATATAATATATTATGGATTTCAGACATGTACTGTTCTGGAAACTATAATATGTAGGTAAACTTTCTAATTTTTTCAATAACTTCAAAGGGTCCAATGTGCCTTGAACTCAACTTTTCTTCTTCACCAAATATGTTAATGAGTTAATGCCTTTCATTAGTTTAATTTTGCATATACAAAGTTTCCTACTGGAATTTCACAGCTCGATGCTTAGCATTAAAATACTATCTCTACCTATCATGTACATCTTTTAATATATCTTTGACAAGATGAATCTTTCTAGTAACATCATTGACTAAGGTTAGCCCAATCAGATTCCTCCCATCCACCTTTATCCAAGACAATGATGTTCTATATTTCCTATTATACATAGCTTCATAAGGATCCATACCTATACTTGACTGAAAGCTATTATTGAAAGCATACTCAATCAAAAGAATGTGATCCTCCCAATTACCACCAAAGTTCAAACACATAATCTCAAAAGATATTCCAGTACCCTCTCAAACTATCCATTAATTTGTGGATAAAAAGCCATCATGAAATGTAGTTTCATGATAAGACCTTACTAAATACCCTTTCATAATTTGGAAGTGAACCTACCATCTTTATTAAAAATAATCACTTTTTTTATCTCATGTAATATGATAATTTCATGCACGTATACTTGTGTCAATTTATTTACTAGGTTAGATTGTCAAATAAGAATGAAATAAGCAGACTTCATCATATAGTCCACTACAACCCAAATGGCATCATATCCCTATCTCAACCTAGGAAACCCCATAATAAAATCCATTATTTTTCACTTTGGAATAGGAACTCTCTCGATTACTGATGTTCTACTTTCACTAACTCTTAAGCTTCAAATATAGAAATAAAATATGTTTCATCATTTTTTAATTTAGGCTACCTGAGTATACCTTTCGTATTGCTATACATTTTGCACTCAATTGATGAACATTACAACCTGAATAATGAGGCTCGAGTAAAAAAAGGGATCTCAAATCTCCAGAACTCGAAACCCATAGTCTATTCTTATAAAAAATTATATAATAACCAGGTATTCATATTTCAAATTTTTTACGAGACTTAATCTAATCAGATAATTTCAAGACTTAGCATCTGACTTTTAAGATTCATAAATCCTTTCTTTTAGAGACAATTGCATAATCATATAAGTCAAAATACCATAATCTTGATCAATATGTGTAATTATCTCCAATTGAAGCTTCTCCATATCCTGTATAAGGGATTCATCAGAAGTAAGATGAATACATTAAAGCATTTGTTATCACATTAGCCTTATCAAGCTAGTATTGAATAGTTATATCATAATCTTTAATCAACTCAAGTTATCTTCTTTACCTTATATTTAGATCTTTCAGAGTAAATATATATTTTAGACTCTAATGACTAGTAAAAATCTCACACATGGCATTGTACAGATAATGCAACCATATTTTTAATGCAAAGACAATAACAAGCTATAATTCATGTGTTAGATAATTTCTCTCCTGTGGCTTCAATTGCTTGGAAGTATATACTATAACCTTCCAATGCTACATTAGGACACATCTAAGACATTTCAGTGAAATAATATTGAATACATAAAATTCTTCTCCATAAGATGGAATAGTCATAATCAGAGTGAAAGTTATTAGTACTTTAGTTTTTGAATGCTAAACTCATAGTTAGATGTCCAGATGAAAGCTATTGACTTTTGAGTCAGTCTAGTAAAAGGTGCAAAAATCTAGGAAAATCTTTTTACAAACTTTCTGTAATAATTAATTGGCTATGCCTAAACTGCACATTAATATAGTAGTAGGTCTTAGTTAATCAACAATTGCCTAAACTTTTAAGGGATCTATAACAAATACCTGTACTACTCACTACATGCTCCAAAAAAAGATAAAAATTTCTCAGTCAAAACTCATATTTGGAGAACTTAGCAAATAGATGATGCTACCTTAGAGTCTCCAAAATAATCATCAAATATTGTTGATAAATTTTACTTTGCCACACATGATTTGTTTTAAAAATTTTCTTTAGTCAAATATGTATAAATTAATATTATACCATCCAAAAAGATAAATTAATATTTTACTATTGATTTGAAAAGAGAAACCTCAATTTATTTTCATGATAAAAAATAGCATAAGGATTATTAAATTCATTCCTAAGAATAAAAAGAATATTCACTTATCATTTTAATCATGAAACTAAATCAATAAATTTATTTTTATAAACAAAATTGTATAAAGAATATTCAATTCATCATTAAAGATAAAAAAATATGCATTTATCATTTTAATCATGAAACTAAA